GGCAGGGTTCATGCCGTGGTCGGGAGCCTTTCGGATAACATTGCTGGGGTAGGGCTCTCCCCTCCGGAGTCCTGGGTGGCCCCGAATGTGCATGGTTTGCACATGAGTAGCGGACATTTGGGAAGGTCATCTTGTATGCCAAGCACTTTAACCAATTATCTCGTTTAATTCTCATGATTCTGGGATGAGAATGCCAGAGGCCCCTATCCCCGGCTTATAGACGTGGAGATGGGGCCTCGGGAGACGGCTAGTGAGGGCAGAGCGGGGAGCTGGGCCCGGGATGTGACCACGCACCCCTTCCCACGATTCCTGAGTCCTTCTGAGCCGAACCAGGGCTGGTGGGGTGGGCCCCTACCTGTACCCACGCGCCCACTCCTCCCGGGAGCCCTGAGGGCAGCTCAGTGCACGGCCCCGTCAGCGGGGGAACAAGCCTCACGGACGGAAAGCCTGTCTGCCGTCCGGGGAGGGCCGCCCGCCAAGCCTGCCCTCTGACCACCCAGGCCCCGCCTGCTCTTCCCTCTGCGGCCCCACCCCCGCCTGGACATGGGACACACAGCGAGGACAGACTGCAGTGAAGTATGGTAGCAAGCATACTTAGGTAAAAACTGCTGTTCTGGCTCCGGCACTCGCTTACTCGCTTAAATAGGGTAGTTGCCCCAGCTTCCAGGTGGAGACCCGGAGGCTAAGGCAGTTTTCCTGTGCCTGGGACCAGGACCCCAGGAGACTGATTCCCTCTGACTCAGCAGCTCCAGGAGCAGAAACTGTAGATAACGGTTAAAGATTAACCGCTGAGCTCTGCTTCTGTACTATCTGCTATCGCAAGATAGGGCCACATTCCAAGGTCCAGCAGAATTTAGAATTTGGAACAAAGGAGAATTCCTGTGGTTTGAGCCTTTAAAAGGCCTGCCTCCACCTGCCACAGCGCGGTCGTGTGGACTCCATCTGCGTGTGGTGCTCTCGCGACCGCCCTGGCCGTTCAATAAATCCCTGCCTGCTCTTTTTAATCATCAGCCTCCGGTGGTCTTACTTTGAACCCAGGGTTCGACCCACAACAAGCAGGTCTCCATCCGGTCCTGGCAGTCCCAGCCCCGGAGCCTCCCCGGACCCCGGTGAGGTCATGGCTGCGCCCGCATGGCTCCGGGCCCTGGAGAGGGGCAGGAGAGACTGAGCACGGGCAGCTGAGTCCCCTGCAGGAAGCCCAGGGCCGACACTGATGCCCCTTCCCCATCTCCCGCAGCCCCTGCGCCCCATCCTGCCCGTCCCCCGGGCTGGCTTGTCTGGCGGGTCCCAGTACAGGCCCGGGTTCGGGTCCGAGTACAGGCCCCGGAGGCCTCCACTGACAGTGCCCCCGGGGCACTTTCCCTGGCAGCTCCTCCTTCATCACACAGCCTCTGCTGGTCCCCGGGGGCCGGCCCCTTGCTGTTCAGATGCCCTGGGCTCTCTGAGCCCGGTGGGCTCTGGCCCTCGTCTGGGAGGAGAGGGGCAATGGCACATGGCAGAGCTGGCTCAGCCACAGGCACACGGAGTCCGGAGCTGGGCAGTGAGCCACTGCCACAGGAGCTGAGATGCCGCTGGGCCTGCTGGGTGCTGCTGAGGCCCCCCACCCCTCCCCATCACTAACCCTCACCCGGGGGCGGTTACCTATTGACTTTTAGTGAGAGTGGGGGAGAGAGAGGGAGACAGAGAGAGAAACATAAGCTGAGCAAGCCGAGGACAGCACGGCCCAGAGTGAGAGAGAACGCGTGGCTGGAGGGTCCCGGGCCGTCCCTGAAAGGCCCACGGGGCCAGGCCTGCCCTCCCAGTGTTTGCTGAGCCCCTGGGACCTGGCTGATTCCTCCGTTGGAGGGAGGGCCCGGCAGGCGCTCTCCCGGGGGCTCTGGGCTGCCCCATCCCCAGGGGTGGGTGGCGGAGGGTCTTCTGGCCCCATCAGGGCAGACGTGCTCAGTCTCTCCTGCCCCCTCTCCAGGGCAGAGGCGGGTGCACACGAGGCCAGACAAAAAGGCCCACTGAATGGCAGCACCCCAGCTGCCCGCAAGCCCACCGCGCCCCGCTCTGGGCCATGGCCCGGGCTCAGGTCACCCTCCTTCATTTGGCAGCAGATACAGAAGGCGGGCCGCTGGACACAGGACGGTGACAAGGACAGGCCAGCTCCGGCAGAGGGGTGGCCAGGTTTCAACGAGGGGGCAGCGCGAACCTGGGGATGGGGTGGGCAGAGCGTGGGGCAGGCCTGGGCCGCTGCTGGGCGGGGTGAGCCCAGAGGAGGGCCCCCTGCCGCCTCTCCCTCCCCCTCTCACTGGGCTTCCTCCAGCTCCCTTTACCCCAGTCTTCCGGACCCAAATCCCCAAATCGGTGCAGATGGCGGGGAGATGCCTCTCCTGGAAAATGCACTCTCCATTCCCCCACCCCACCCCACCCCTCCCGATGTCCCCACACGTGACATGAGAGCAGCGTGGGCCCGGCCGCCTCCCTGCAGGACACTCGGGGCCCTGGCAGCAGCTACAGCCTCCTTCACGCAGGCCTCCTTTCGGCCCGCAGAAGCCCGAGGCGCCCGTGCAAGCAGGATGGCTGGGACTCTGGGGCCTCAGAGGCGGGTGCCCGCAAGGCGGAGACGCCACCTGCTGGTGGACACGGGCACGGCAGGCAGCGACACTTGCTGGTGGCAGCGGGGTTAGGCCGGCCTCCGCTGTCAGGACACGGGAGCGGGATGGGGGAAGCATCTGTGTTTTTCCTGCACATCCCCATCGGCCCCCGCCAGTTACCTCATGCTCCGTGCAGTCCGCCCCGCGCCCCGTCCCAGCAAGCCCTTCAGCGGCGCCCACAGAAGTGCCCGGTGCAGCTGGGAGGCGGTGTCTGTGCATCAGTGTCTCTGATCCTGCCACGGGGCTGGCCGGCGGGGTGGGGGGGTGTCCCTGGGGGTGGACGCAGGGTTTCTCCTGTAAATCAGCCCCACTCCCAGCCGTGTGACCTGGGAGCCAGGAACGGCCCTCGCTCCAGCCTCCTCCCGAGAAAGGAGGGGAAACACGGGCTCCGTGCCGCCTTGCTTAGGTCAGTGGTCGGTCGGCAAATTCGTTAGTCAACAGAGCGGCAAACCGTGGCTCTCAAGCCGCAGTTTGCCGACCACTGGTGTCGGCGCCCTTGGTGAGCAGCACAGGCCTGGGATCTCAAAGGGCCCGTCTGCAGAGACAGCCGCGAAGCAAATGTTCACTGCGACCCCCGGGAGTGGGTGTCGGTACAATTCTTTCCGTTTTCCCGTATGAGTGAACTTCTTTAATAAAATGTGAAAAAGAAAAAAATAAAAGTGAAACAGAACGGAGCCTCTGGGCGGCGTGTCTGTGACAAACCGTAACGGGGTGACCCGAGGAGGAAGTGGAGGGCGAACCCCGGGACGCGGTCCCTCCCCGGAGCCGCCCCACCGGCCTGGGCGGGGTTTTAATCCCCGAGAACCTCAGTGACCAGCGGGGGGCGCCTCGCAGAGGGCCGGTGTCACGCCTGGCTTTCCTTTGGAGCCTTTTTTTAAGATGCAAACCTTCCCGGGGCAGCAAGCCTCACCCCGCCGGCGGCCCAGGATCGGGGGGACGGGGTTCCTGGCGTCTCTGTGCTCCCACCTCAGGCCCGGCCACGCCCGGGGGGGCAGGGCAGGCGGAGCTGCGCTGAGATGGGGGTGGGGTTAGGGAGGGGGCGCTGAGCGGCCAGCACTGGCCTATCTGCTGTCCCCGGCCCCGGCCCTGTGCCTGCGGGCCCTCAGGAAACCCCGAGGAGAGGCGCCCGCAGAACCCAGTCATCCTGGGCCTTGGAGCTGAGACCCCATCACTGCAGGCGCGCGCACACACACACACACACACACACACACACCCACCCAGTGCAAAGCACCTCCCTCCCCGCCCTCTGGCAACCCCCAAGTCGCTACCCAGGACTAGCCCGAAATGCACTCGTCCATCTTCAACCCCATTGCACACTCACTGCCCAGGGTCCGCTGCCGGCGGGCCTCCCAGCCTGCACTGCGGCGGGCCTCCCAGCCTGCACCGCGTTGGTGCGGTCACGTGACGGAATGCCGCCAGTGGGCGTGACGGAGGGACACTCCCAGGTCTCACCGCGGGAGGCAGACCCCTCACCCTCCCTGCCGGGCGGTGGCCGCTCCCCTGGGGGGTCAGAAACTGACCGGCTCCCGCTTTGGGTCTGTCACGGGGCGGGGTGGGTGGGGTGGGTGAGGGGCTCATCCCCGGTCCCCGCAGCCCGAGGCCTGAGCTTGGCCATCACCCAACACGCATCTCCGGCTTCGCCCCTGGAGCGCAGGGGAGTCCGGTCCCACCCCGGGCTGCGGGCCCGGTCCCCGGGGAGGGGTTCCGGAGAGGGGTTCCGGGGAGGGGTTCCGGAGAGGAGCCCCCGGGGAGGAGCCCCCGGGGAGGGGCCCCAGGGGGGGAGGCCACGCCCATCCCGGCTCCACTGCGCCCAGCGCGCTCCGGAGCTCAGAGCCGCACTGGCCCGAACCATCGCTCCCCCTCCTGGGGAAGGCAGGGAGGGGAAGCTACGGGGACCCTGGACCAAACAGTTTGTGTGTTAGCCCTCGCCTGGGTGGTTTTTATTTTTTGAGAAAGGGAGAGAAAAAACACCAGAGAAACATCAAGGATCGAACCCTCAACCTAGGTATATGCCCTGACCATTCGTCAACCCTGCAGCCTTTTGGGGTACGGGACCACCCTCCAACCAAGCGAGCCACTGGCAGGGCGAGTGTATTTTTTAAAAGTATATATTTTATTGATTTTTTACAGAGAGGAAGGGAGAGGGATAGAGAGCTAGAAACATCGATGAGAAACATCGATCAGCTGCCTCCTGCACAACCCCCACTGGGGATGTACCCACAACCAAGGTACATGCCCTTGACCGGAATTGAACCTGGGACCCTTCAGTCCGCAGGCCGACGCTCTACCAACTGAGCCACACTGATTTTGGCAACGAGTGTATTTTTTAATAAATGACTCTCCAGGGGTGGGGTGTCTTTCTCATCGACTCCGGGTGTTGAACTGGGTGAAGAAGTCGTCCGAGGCCTGGTTCGTACAGACCTCCTTCATGTACTGCCTCCTGGTGATGGAACAGGGGAACCTCAGCACAGGCCTGGCGCCCCCTCTCTGTGACAGAGCCGCCCGTTAATCCTCACCCCGACTGTTTTCCTTGTTTAGAGAGGGTGGAAGGGAGGGGGAGAGTCAGAGAGAAACATCGATGTGAGAGAGACACCCAGACTGGCTGCCTCCTGCACACACCCCAACTGGACTGGGACAGGGATCCAGCCTGTGACCTTCCAGTCTGAGGGCCGACGCTCTAACCACTGAGCAACCCAGCTAAGGCAGAGCCCACCTTCTTTTTATCCCCAGGCTGCCTCCGGGCTGGCTGCCGCTGGGTCTGGTCATCGAGGAGCACCCAGACTACGGGCCCTGGCTGATCCCAGGGTCCCCTCTCCACGGCGTGGCCGGGGAGCACCTGCTGGTCCCCGAGTTCTGCCAGACCGTGTCTCCCCACCCCGTCAGTCACAGAAGCGACCGAGGGACCCACAGGTCTGACTGGAGGAACACAGGCGGGTCCCTTCTGAGTGCAAGCCAGGAGCGTGGAGGACAGACAGAGACCAGATTTGGGGACAGTCCCTGATTATCAGACTGGGTTTGGGGACAGTCCCTGATTATCGGGCTGGGTTTGGGGTTTGGGGTTTGGGGACTGGGTTTGGGGACAGTCCCTGATTATCGGAACCCTGAGCCACCCTCGTGGCCTATGTGCGCTCAGAGGACCCCTCCCTGCAGTCGGCGGTGGGCATTGCCTCCTCTATGTCTCAGACCCTCCCAGGACCCATCACCAGCGCCTGTGCCAGCCAGCGGGGGTCCCGGGCCCAGATGAGGACCCCGGGGAGGGGTGTCGGCAGGATACCCCGATGGCATGGTGGGGCCTGTGCTTCCCAAGCCCTGAATTTCTGGCTTCCGCTCTGGGCCTGCCCCCCTTTCGGTTGGCACTCTGTGCCAGGAGGCCGTGCCACAGCCAAACCGCCACCGCCACTCCGGGGCCTCCTGTGGAGGATGCATCTCGGACCCGGACCCTCTGGGGAAAGATCTGGGGCGGTGGGGAGGAGGAGACGGGGACAGGAGCCCAGGGGAGCACAGAGCCTGCTCCATGCCCTGCCGCTCAGCACCCTGCCCCCCCCCCCCCGCCCGGCACCCCGCTCTGCAGCCGGGCACCCACTGCAGGCGCTGCTCGGCGGCCAGGCTGCGGTTGCTGCCGTCCAGGGCTCTGCGCAGGAGGCGCTGCTGCCGCCGCTGCAGCCGCTCGCACAGCAGGTCGGCGCGGGCCTTCTCCACCCTCTGCCGGTCCCAGTCCTCGTCCCGCTGGCGCTCTTCCTCCTGGAGCCTCTGGAGAGAGGCGAGGCGTCCCCAGAGGGGCCCGGGACCCGGAGAACCGCCTCTCACCGTACAGACGGGGAAACTGAGGCTCTGGGGGCGGCTATCTTGGTCACTGGCAGCTGCCCTCCCCCGTTCAATCCAGGTGCCCGGCCCTTCCCACACTTGGGAGGCACCGGGCACACAGGTGGGCGGGCTGCTGCTTCTGGGTGAGCACTGGGACCACCTGGTCGCTTCTAGAACTTTCTGATGCTACGAGGACTTTTAAATCCTCACCCGAGGTCATTTTTCCATGGCTTTTTAGAGAGCAGGAGAGAGAGAGAGAGAAACATTGATGGGTTGCCTCCTGAACGAGCCATAATCAGGGCCCAGGCCTGGGGAGGAGCCTGCAACCGAGGTCGTACCCTTGACAGGAATCGAACCCTGGGCCCTTGGGTCCGCAGGCTGGCTCCCTATCCACTGAGCCACACCAGCGAGGGCTCTCATTCCTCACTGCCTACCAGGCCTTCTCTAAAGCCCACTGGCTCCGAGGAGAGGAAACGGGGATAATGCAGCTGGGGGGTGTCAAACCCTGCACATGGGCAGTGTCGCCTGCCAACCTGAGTTACTTCGTCAGCCCCGCTGGCAAGGGCTGGGGGACCTGGGCCTGCAGCGAGCCCTCCTCCCTCCCTGGGCTCAGGGGGGCCCCCTCCCGCAGAGGGGCAGGGTGGTCCGCGGCCACCAGGGCCCAGGCCTCACCAGGGGCGGAGGCAGGCTGGGCCCGGCGAGGCCCATGGCAGGGCGAGGGCGGTGGCCACTGCACCTGCACGAGGCCACTCCCCGCCCCGGCCTGGCTCAGACGCTTCACCCCCAGCTCCTGCGGAGGGGCGGAGCGCTGGGGCGGGGTGTTCTGTGTGGTGAGACTTAACGTGTGTGTTTTCCCTTTTGTGCTTTCCTGATTGCCCGTTTTTCACAGAAATCAGTGCAAATTGCTGCTTTCAGGACAGCGGCCGCCTTCCCGCCAGGCGGCTGGGCTGTGGAAGTGGCCCTGGCCCCGGCCGCCCAGCTGCACGGTGTCCTTCCCCAGAGTCCGCATGGCTCACTCACTCCCCCCACTCCAATCTCCGTTCCAGCATCACCCTCAGGCTCCTGGCGACCCACTGGGCCCAGCAGCCCGCTCCCAGCCTCACTTCCTCCCCAGCACCCACCACCCTAGCATTTGGCCCTTGTCACCGCCCTCCTGCACTGTGAACCCCTAGAGGGCAGCTGTGCTGGCCCCCGGGAGGGAGGGGTGGGGAGGGGGACGGGCTGAGAGAGAGAGGGTACAGGGGAGGAGGGAGGGGCTGTGGGAGAGAGGGGACAGGGGAGGAGGGAGGGGCTGTGGGAGAGAGGGGACAAGGGATGAGGGAGGGGCTGTGGGAGGGAGGGAGGGGCTGTGGGGGAGAGGGGACAGGGGAGGGGGAGGGGCTGTGGGAGGGAGGGAGAGGCTGTGGGGGAGAGGGGACAGGGGAGGGGGAGGGGCTGTGGGGGAGAGGGGACAGGGGAGGAGGGAGGGGCTGTGGGGGAGGGGACAGGGGAGGAGGGAGGGGCTGTGGGGGAGAGGTGACGGGGAGGGAGGGAGGGGCTGTGGGGGAGAGGGGACAGGGGAGGAGGGAGGGGCTGTGGGGGAGGGGACAGGGGAGGAGGGAGGGGCTGTGGGGGAGAGGTGACGGGGAGGGGGAGGGGCTGTGGGGGAGAGGGGACAGGGGAGGAGGGAGGGGCTGTGGGGGAGGGGACAGGGGAGGGGGAGGGGCTGTGGGGGGGAGGGGACAGGGGAGGAGGGAGGGGCTGTGGGGGAGAGGTGACGGGGAGGGAGGGAGGGGCTGTGGGGGAGAGGGGACAGAGGAGGAGGGAGGGGCTGTGGGGGAGAGGGGACAGGGGAGGAGGGAGGGGCTGTGGGGGAGAGGTGACGGGGAGGGGGAGGGGCTGTGGGGGGGAGGGGACAGGGGAGGAGGGAGGGGCTGTGGGGGAGAGGTGACGGGGAGGGAGGGAGGGGCTGTGGGGGAGAGGGGACAGAGGAGGAGGGAGGGGCTGTGGGGGAGGGGACAGGGGAGGAGGGAGGGGCTGTGGGGGAGAGGGGACAGGGGAGGAGGGAGGGGCTGTGGGGGAGAGGTGACGGGGAGGGGGAGGGGCTGTGGGGGAGAGGGGACAGGGGAGGAGGGAGGGGCTGTGGGGGAGGTGACGGGGAGGGGGAGGGGCTGTGGGGGGAGGGGACAGGGGAGGAGGGAGGGGCTGTGGGGGAGAGGTGACGGGGAGGGAGGGAGGGGCTGTGGGGGAGAGGGGACAGAGGAGGAGGGAGGGGCTGTGGGGGAGGGGACAGGGGAGGAGGGAGGGGCTGTGGGGGAGAGGGGACAGGGGAGGAGGGAGGGGCTGTGGGGGAGAGGTGACGGGGAGGGGGAGGGGCTGTGGGGGAGAGGGGACAGGGGAGGAGGGAGGGGCTGTGGGGGAGGTGACGGGGAGGGAGGGGCTGTGGGGGGGAGGGGACAGGGGAGGAGGGAGGGCCTGTGGGGGAGAGGTGACGGGGAGGGGGAGGGGCTGTGGGGGAGGGGACAGGGGAGGAGGGAGGGGCTGTGGGGGAGAGGGGACAGGGGAGGAGGGAGGGGCTGTGGGGGAGAGGTGACGGGGAGGGAGGGGCTGTGGGGGGGAGGGGACAGGGGAGGAGGGAGGGGTTGTGGGGGGGGAAGGAGGGGCTGTGGGGGAGAGGGGAGGGGGAGGGGCTGTGGGGGAGAGGGGACAGGGGAGGAGGGAGGGGCTGTGGGGGAGGGGACAGGGGAGGAGGGAGGGGCTGTGGGGGAGAGGTGACGGGGAGGGGGAGGGGCTGTGGGGGAGAGGGGACAGGGGAGGGAGGGAGAGGTTAAGGAGGAGAGGGGGCGTCGGGGCAGCACCATCTTCTCCTGCATCTGCTGCTGCTGCACCAGGCGGATGTGGCCCAGCTGGTCCTGGCTCATGCCCTTCCAGCGGTCGGGGACCACGCGGTGGGGCCCGAAGGAGCTGGCCGCCTGCTGCGGGTCCTCGGAGAGCAGGTCCCCGCGCAGCAGGCTGGCGATCTGGGCCAGGTCGGCCTCTTGTTCCTGCTTTTTCTCCAGACTTCTCCTCTCCGCTGACTCCAAGGCCTGGGGGGGAGACATCAGGGAAGATGCTCCGAGTGACCCAGGGAGAGGCCCCGCCCATGTCCCCGGGCCAAGCAGGGAGGACAGCTACAGGCACCAGGGAGCAGGGACAGGACATGCTGCCTGCACTGGGCCTGCGGGCTCGGCTCAGGGGCGCCACCTGCTGGTCGAGTGCAGAGTTGCTTCAGGTCTTGCACTGTTTGCTGCACGTTGGCTGGGCCTCACTCACTGGACAGGCTCCTAGCCCCACCCTGTGGCCCGTCACCCTGATGTGGCTGCAGAGAACGCCCCCGAGGGCCGGCAGCAGCAGTGCCTCAAAGGTGAACACACACTGCCCCCTCAGAGCGCCCGGTGCGGCCCGCCACAGGCCAGGCCAGAGCCCTGCTCCCCAGGGGCGATGGAGGGGACGGGCGGCCCTGCCACCTGGAGCCGCTCCCCCCTCCGGGCTGCCATCATTTCTCTGCCAATCAGGAGGACTGGACCCTCCTCAGCGTTACCAGGTCTCTCGGTGATGGGCAGGCGGGCACTCGGCAGGGCAGGGGGCACGCTGTGGGCGCCCATGAGGTGGCAGCTGGATGCACCACATGAGCACCTGCTGCTCAGGGAAGGCTGATCAGACCCTGGGCTCGCTGGTTTGGAGGCCCATGTCCGGACTGGCCAGAGCAGGCCCGATCAGCGCTGGGTTCCCTACGAGGCAGGCCCCCCAAGACCCTCTCTCTCAGCTGCGTGGGCTGGCCTGCCCCTCTGCAGGGCTGCTGAGCACAGTGACGGAGGGCAGCTGCCTGTGGCCAGGATACTGGGCTTAATCTCACCCCCTCCCGTTTACAGAACGGTACCATGAGACCAGAAACTAGCCTGTGCTTCATAATCACACTCAGGCGTGCGCACACGTGTAAAACAATGACCAGGTTGTCCTGGCCAGCATGGCTCAGTAGTTAGAGCGGCAGCCCACACACCGAAGAGTTTCGGGTTCAATTCCCGCCAAGGGCACATCCCTGGGTTGCAGGTTCAAGCCCCAACCTGGCTTGGGCATGTACTGAAGGCAACACATTGACGTGAATCTCTCTCCTCTTCCTCTCTCTCCTTCCCTCCTCCGCCCTCTCTGAAAATCATTGTAAAAATCTCACTGGGTGAGGCTTAACCAAACAATAGATTAAAAGACGAGTTGAGAATCCATGTGAGCAGGGCTCCGCTTCCCCCTCCTTCGTGCAGGGACCATCTCCCATGTCCCACTGCAGGCCGCGGTCTGCTCATGCAGCTCATCCTCCCTCCCACCCAGGAATAGAGCTGCGTTTGAAAAGAAAACCTGGTCCCAGCCGGTGTGGCTCAATGGATGGAGCGTTGGCCTGCGGACTGAAGGGTCCCGGGTTCGATTCCTGGTCAGGGCACCTGCCTGGGTTACAGGCTCGATCCCCAGTGGGGCATGTGCAAGAGGCAGCCGATCCATGATTCTGTCTCATCAGTGATGTTTCTCTCTCTCCCCCTCTCCCTTCCTCTCTGAGATCAATTTTAAAAAAAAGAAAGAAAGTAAAAAAAGAAACCTGAGGGAAGTCTGATTTCCAAAAGGAACAGAACCGAAGCCCCTCAGCGTGGGGCGGGCGGGGAGGGGAGTGCTGAGGATCCGGCAGCGCTGAGGGGGAGGGGCTGTCAGGAGACCCCCAGGGGGCACCCCTCGTGGGCACAGCTGCCCCCTCCCGAGTGCTGTGCACCTGCTCCTGGTGAGGAGGGGCCCGAGGCTGGGAAAGAACCGAACCAGACCGGGCGGGGCAGCGCCGCGGGCACCGTCTGGGCAGCTGACCCCACCCCGGTGCATAGGCACCCCAGTCCGTCTCTGCGGCTGGGCGCCCCCTTCCTTGGGGTTCCGTTTGTGTGGACGGGCTGCGCCCGGGGCTGGGGAGCTGGGCGCCGGGGCGGGCTGGGGCGGCCCCCCCGGCCCGGTCACCTGCATCTTGTTGAACTCCTTCACGGCGGTGCAGACCGCCTTCCTGGCGGCCAGCTCCTGGTTCTGCAAGTCCTTGGCCGTCTGGTCGAACTGCAGCCGGGTCTCCGTGTACAGCTCCTCTGCAAGCAGCGGAGAGTGCGGCCGCCACCCCCGCCCTCCCCGGGCGCCGTGACCGCGTCCGCCCTCCTCCGCCCGCCCCACAGGCCCTGGCGCCTGAGGCCGCAGGGCCACCCCGGGAGTTCGTTCCGTGAAGCTCCCACTCGGCGCCGGCCCGAGTGCTGCCAGTGCTACTGGGCAGGCAGTGCCTCCGTGGACGGGCGCTGCCTCCATGGACGGGCACTGCCTCCGTGGACGGGCACTGCCTGCCGTGGACGGGCACTGCCTGCCGTGGACGGGCACTGCCTCCGTGGACGGGCACTGCCTCCGAGGACGGGCACTGCCTCCGTGGATGGGCACTGCCTCCGTGGACGGGCACTGCCTCTGTGGACGGGCAGTGCCTCAGTGGATGGACAGTGCCTGCAGTGGACGGGCAGTGCCTCAGTGGACGGGCACTGCCTCCGTGGACGGACAGTGCCTGCCGTGGACGGGCACTGCCTCCGTGGACGGACAGTGCCTGCAGTGGATGGGCAGTGCCTCAGTGGACGGGCACTGCCTCCGTGGACGGGCACTGCCTGCCGTGGGTGGGCACTGCCTCCATGGATGGGCACTGCCTCTGTGGACGGGCACTGCCTCCGTGGACGGGCAGTGCCTCCGTGGGCGGGCAGTGCCTCCGTGGGCGGGCAGTGCCTCCGTGGACGGGCAGTGCCTCCGTGGGCGGGCAGTGCCTCCGTGGGCGGGCAGTGCCTGCGGAGGCTTGGTGGTGTGGGCTGTGGTCCTGGACAGGGAGCAGTGGGCTGCTTGGCCTGCACGACTTCTCGGGCACCGCCTCCTTACAGCCGCAGGGTGACGGGAGCCCAGTGAAGAGGGAGGGGACCCGCTGGCTCCGGAGGAGGGTGCCGGGGGCAGCAGCACGTGGACAGTGAGGAGGATGAAGAGGAAAAGGGGTCAACAGTCCAGGAGACTGTCCTGTGAGGCAGGGCTGCTACGGTTTAAAGTCGGTAACAAAGAGGTTCTGTCGCGGCGTGCCTGAGGGTCTCTGCGTGTCCAGAAACAAAGGCCTCTGCAGGCGATGGGTTATCCTTGTGCCCTGAACCCTACCTGGCTGTCCTCACCGGGGCCTCCCCTACAAACTCCACTTAAAGGAAAAAAGACCAAACTCCTTGGTGAACGCTGGCCTCTGCTCTCCTCGGCTCCCCCCCTCACCGGCGTCACTGTCCGTTCAGTTCACACAGAGTGTGGAGCGCCTTCCGTGGGCTGCCCACACCCGCGGGGGGATGGGATGGAGGGGTGCCATCCGGGAGCTTACAGCCCAGGAGAGGAGCCAGGGAACCAGCAAGCAATAGACGCATCACTGCCGACTGCTCAGCGCTGCCGAGCCAGGGAGAGGCCACCGGGAGGGCGGGGGAGCACCGGGCGGCGGTGGGCGGCGGGAGCCGCTGCTAGGAGGTGGCGGCACTGCTCGGCCCTGAGGGACACGGAGCTGGTGCGGAGGGGCGGAAGTGGGGGACGCACTGGTCGGGACCCCGAAGTGCCAGTCAGCCGGAGAGGCTGGGACCCGGGGTGGGTGACATCAGAGGGCTGGGCCGTGGGCCACGTGCAGGGCTCTGCAGGCTACGGCAGACTCTGCCTTTTATTCCAGATGCAATGGGAGCCACGAGAGAGTGTCAGCGGGCGGAGGGCCTGGGGGACACCGTCCGCTGGACACGGTTAGGAAGCAGCATCTGCTGTGTTGAGAATGCACAGAGAGGAGCAAGGCAGGAAGGGAACGAGAAAGCCTCGGTGTGGTCCCTGCTGACAGGGAGGCGGGCTCGCACGGCAGTGGGGACAGCGGATTGGGAGACGTGGACAGTCCATGTCTGCGGGAGGTGAGGAGGGACAGCAGTGAGGAGGCCCTGGAGACAAGACGGGGTCCAGGAGGACCCCAGGCTTCTGCTTGACTAAGGGGCAGGGGAGTCACTGTGTGAGGGAGGAAGGGGGGAGAAGACCGGGGGGCACGCAGGTTTGTCCCCGGGATGTGGGAGGTGACTGTGGTCGAGGACCAGGCCCAAGGCGGAGGGGAAGGCCCAGCCGGAGATGGCCGCCCTGTGGGCGTCATTCCCGCAGATATTACCGGCGGCCGGCGCCCCGGAAGGAGCAGAGGGAAAACAGACACAGCCCCGCCTTCATGGCGCTTAGGACATGGCCCCGGGAGAGGAATGGCAAACGCACCCCCAGACGCCTGCCCTGAGCAACGCGGTGGGAGGTAAAGCGAGGAGAGGGGTGGGGAGCGCGGGGCGGGGCTGGAGAGACAGGTCCCCAGGGGACGGCAGCAGGCGGAGGGCAGAGACCACGGCGGCACTCCGGCTGGGACGGCTGGCCACGGAGGCCGCGTGCGGACAGCAGAGGTGGGAAAGGCAGTGAGATCTGGGTGGCGGCCTGCTGGGCCCGAGGAGCCTTTGGGGTCAAGGTGACTGGGCTGGGCTGGGCCTGGGTGAGTGTGAGAACTCCCCATGAGCAGAGGAGGGAGGCCAGGTGCGGACCTGCCCTGACAGAGGCCGCACCCTGTGGGTCCCCAGTCTCCCCGCAGACGGGAAACAGCCGAGCTCAGGCAGTGTTTCCTGCGTGACAGCCGAGTGGCCGGGGACATGTCCGCCCTGGACCACAGGTCCTGACGCCTCTCTCCCTCCACGGCCCCAGCAGCACACGGTAAAACTCAGAGAACAGAAATGGGAGCGGATTTGCGTGGAAAGCAGCGCCTGTGCTCAGTTCCCTCACCTGCGCGCTTCTGGTCGGCCCGGGCCTGCTCCCGCGCCCTCCGCTGCTGCAGGGCCCACTCTCGGTTCTGCTCCTGCTGGAACCTCCGCCGCTCCTGGCAGCTGAGATCCTCCCCCAGGAACCGCTGCAGCCCCGACACCGTGTTCCGCACGTCGCTGTCCAGCTGCCGGGCCGGGAGCTCTGCCTTGCGGGCCAGGGGGTCCGACAGGTCGAACTCCCGGCGCGTCTCCGGCCGCTGGGAGCCCCGCTGGAAGTCCACCAGCGCCCTGCGGAGGCCCCGCCGCCCCCTCTGCTCCCGGCTCTCCAGGGCGCACATGGTTTTGTCGTTGTGCCTCAGTTCGGCAGCTGGAAGAGACACAGATTGTCCGCGAGAGTCAGGTTCGGTGGGGAAAATCGACTGGGCTCCACTTTAAAAAATAGTTTCTAGTGATCCTAAAAGGAATACCGCCCTCCTACAGCGTAGCAGCCACTCAAGGATTAGAATCCTGAACGTACCAAGCGCACCTATAAAGCAACAGGAGAAAGCACGCAGCCCAACCAGAAATGGGTGAAGGACAGGAACAGGCAAATAAAGAAACTCCAATAATCAATAAACTTGTGAAAAGATGACCAGCTCTACATGGTGGTTAGAAACACCCCAAAATTGGCAAAATATTAAAAACGCGAATGGCACGTATCCGCATGTGGGGAAATGAGATTCCTCATTCACGGCTTGCGGGAGTGTAACCTGGTACACTGATGACTTTGAAGAGCCATTGGCCAATATCCCATAAAAATGAAAACACGTTTATCCTGTGACCTAACAAGCTCACTTCCCAGGTCCCTTCAGCCAGGTACCCAGGGACATACGCATGGGTAGTCATTGCAGCGGTGTTTGCAATTATAAAACAAAAAAACAGCCGAGACCGGTTTGGCTCAATGGACAGAGCGTCGGCTTGGGGACTGAAGGGTCCCGGGTTCGATTCCGGTCAAGGGCATGTACCTTGGTTGCGGGCATATCCCCAGTGGGGGGTGTGCAAGAGGCAGCTGATCGATGACTCTCTCTCATCGATGTTTCTAACTCTCTATCTCTCTCCCTTCCTCTCTGTATAAGATCAATAAAATATATTAAAAAAAAAAACAAAAAAACAAAAAAAAAAAACAAAAAAACAAAATACAAAAAACCCCACACATAAAAACAAACAACAACAACAAAAACAAAACAGGATAAATCTAAATCAGCCATCCATGGGAGGAAAGGATAAAGAAACTGTGTTTAATTCATATAAAACAATATCAGAGAATAATTAAAATGAATATTCTATATGCAGGTCATGGATTACATTTTTAAAAAAATATATTTTATTGATTTTTTACAGAGAGGAAGGGAGAGAGAGAGAGAGCTAGAAACGTCAATGAGTGAGAGACATCGACCAGTTGCCTCTTGCACACCCCCCACTGGGGATGTGCCCGCAACCAATGTACATGCCCTTGACCGGAATCGAACCTGGGACCTTTCAGTCCACAGACAGACGCTCTACCACTGAGCCAAATCGGTTTTGGCATGGATTACATTTTGAAATACAACACTAAGCCCTGGCTTGGCTGGTTAGAAGGTCATCCCATACACCAAAAGGTATTTTATTTTTAATTTCTTTATTGATTAAGGTGTTACATATGTGTCCATATCCCTCTATTTCCTCCCCCCCTACCCCTCACTCATGGCCTCACTCATGGTGTCTGTGTCCATTGCCTAGGCTGATATGCACGCATACAAGTCCTTTGGTTGATCTCTTCCCCTTACCTCCACCCTCCCCTACCCTCTGAGGTTTGAAGCATTGATTAGACTGCCAAAAGGTTTTGAGTCCAGTGATGGTCATGGGTACATACATAAATGGTACCAGTACAGAAAACAGGCGAGGGCACAGCGCGCCCCTCTGAAGAGGGAAGAATGACAGGGTGGGGAATATACAAATATTTTTTAAAAACATTCTTAAAATATATCTAAAGCCCATTTGGCAAAAAGATAACATCTAATCTAGTGGTTGGTGCATATGTGTGTGTCACATCATTTTGTAAGTTTGACTTATTTTTAAGCTAAAAATATAAAAGGTAAAATATTAAGAAAACATTGAACTGTATAAAGAAAATAAACTTCACTCCTAATTTAATCACCCCAACATTACCACATTACAACATTTCGGCATATTTGCTTTCTTTTTCTAAGCATATCTTTCATATATTTAAAAACTTGAGTACCCACTGTATATAAAATTTTGTACCCTTTCCCCCCCCATTTTTTTAACAGGAAAAAATAACCAAATTTATTACTTATGTATATATGGGAGTTCTGTAAGAACATGGGGTCCTCTCTTCTCCCTATTTTAAAAATTCTTCCAGCCAAAACCGGTTTGGCTCAGTGGTAGAGCGTCGGTGTGCGGACTGAAAGGTCCCGGGTTTGATTCCAGTCAGGGGCATGTATGTTGATTGCGGGCATATCCCCGGTAGGGGTTTGCAAGAGGCAGCTGGTCGATGTTTCTCTCTCATCGATGTTTCTAGCTCTCTCTCTCTCTCCCATCCTTTCTGTAAAAAAAACAATAAAATATTTTATAAAAAAAAATTCTTACAGTGCTTTACTAAAATAAACTCAAAAGTGTTGCACATGATGAGAATGCTGTGAAAATTTTATCTAAAAGCTAGAATACCATTATCTGAACTATGTCTACTTCTGACTCAGCTTGGGGACTCGAGCTGGGAGTCTGAGTGTGTCATCTAGTGTAAAGGGCTGTCCCTGGCAGAAGACCTTGGACTCTTCGAAGAGAATGTTTGTGTTTAAGGTTTTTCATATCCAGTTGGTGTGGGTTTTTTTTTTTTTTTTTAAGAAAAGAGAGAAGACACACTTCATCCTCAAAATATCTATTTTTAGAGCTCACAAAGAATTCAATAGCTGATTTTCTTTTAACAGAGGAAGAATTGGTGCATTAGGTTAGCTGAGCACAAGCAATTGTGAAATTTTAAAAGAGGAAGAAAGTAAAAATGACAAGCTTCCACACCCGTGAAGGAGGGCTGGAGTCTGAGGCACTCAGCCCTACACTGCTAGACAGACATTCAGGCAACACTCACCAAATGTCTCATGTCTGGCTTTTTCAGTTGCTTCTCTTATCTTCTGGTCACACACCTGAATATCCCAGGTCTTTTTATCTCCCTGGAATGGAAAATGTATCCCGTTATTAACAATCCGACTTACCTCTTTATCCTCGCCCCACTGTCTTAGTTTCACACCAGGTCTTTTCATACCTGAATGCCTTTGCTTATAGCTGGTTCTTCAGCATGTCCTCTTAACTTTCCTCAGAGCTTCCTTCCTTCTTACCATAGTTAACAGGTACTCATCCTCATAGCACATCACCTCCTCTGGGAAGCCCTCTCTGATTCCCTCTTCCAGCCCCAGTCTGTGTTGCCCTCCTTCATTACATTTAATGTCTCCACTGGGCCATAAACCCTGACGGTCAAGAATTGCCTTACTCCTCATCTCCGGGCCCTAGTTCAGGCTTGCCACAAAATGGGAATTTTGTCAAATGAATGGACTGGAAGGAACCCCTGACAATGTAGAAAATCTGGCCCAGAGAGAGGAGAGCTCCATTCTAGTCTCTCCTTGGCCACAAACTCCGGACAACTCCCTCCCACTGCAGGACTCCATTAGCCTGTCTGGCAAGTGGGAGGGAGTATAACTGTTCTATTGAGGTTTCTCTCATCTTCAGCGAAGTCAATATATCCTCAGCTTGCTGCCATTTGCAGCTGGGCCTGGGTCAAGTTTCATTCGAGGGATTCATCTCTTCTTCTCTCCCACGCCCACCTCTCGCTCCCACCTGCCCCTCCGCGTCCCCAGTCCCTGCCCCCGGCCCCTTTCCCTGTGGGGACAAGCGAGCGTCTTACCCCCAGGATCCTGTTCCTGGCGTTGAACATCTGGTTCTGCCTGCACAGCTCCGCATGTCTCCTCCTGGCCAAGCCAAAGGATTGTGCCAGGTCGTCGTCCTGCACTATATCCATGACTGGGAATCCTCAGGAAGCTCTAAGAGCCTTAAAAACGCTCGAGTTAAAAAGAAGACCACGAACAGCTGCAGCCCGATCGATCGAGACCGGCTCCCTGGGAGGTGAGCCAGTGGGTGAACCTGCTCCCAGGCTCCCGCACAGCCTTCTGCGACCACGTTTCCCCGGCAACGTAAACAGCCCGGTTGCTAAGGAACGGCGCGGCTCCCCGTGTTCTCGCTCTCCTCTCGCGAGACGCTGTGAAGTCCTTCCCGCTCTTTTCCCGCCGAGCGTGTGAGGACGCCGCTGAGGCGCGGAGGCCGCGGCCATGGGCCGCTTGGAGCTGCTGCTCGTGGAGAACTTCAAGTCCTGGCGAGGCCGCCAGCTCATCGGCCCTTTCAAGAGGTTCACCTGCATCATCGGCCCCAACGGCTCCGGTAACTGGCCCCGGGCCCTCCGCCCGCCCGAGGCGTCCGGGCCTCCTGGGGCCTGAGGGCCCTGAGGTGCCGCTCGCCTGGCCTCGGGCCCTGCCGCCCGGAAGCCTCGGTCTCGGCCGGCACCCCGCCCCACCTCGCCTTCACCCCACGGTTCTGCTGGGCCTTGGGCAGCACGGGCCCAACCCGTGACCTCGCCCCACCCCAGGGACCTCGGGCCCCCCCCCCAGGGTCCCCGGGCCCACCCCAGGGACCCCGCCCCCCCCCCCAGGGACCCCGGGCCCACCCTAGGGTCCCCGGGCCCACCCCAGGGTCCCCGGCCCCCCCCAGGGTCCCCGGCCTCGCTGTGGCCCGGCTCCGCCAGCGGCCCGCAGGCCGCCCTCGGCCGCCCTCGCCCTTCCTCTCGCGGGGGCGGGCGGGCGGGCGGGCCGGAAGGCCGGTCCCGCGGACGACGGCGGCGGTGACGCAGTTCCCTGCGCTTTGACCGAACCCCGCGCCTCCGCGCTTTCGCCTCACGGAGGCCGCTGTGTTGCCGCCTTTTTCCCGCCGAGGCCGCCGAGGTGACGGCTCCGGGGGCGGCAGGCGGGGCCCCGGGCCCCCGGCACCGGCCTGCGCGGGCGGCCCATGGGCACCCGCCCCGCCCCCGCGTGCAACGCCCGTTCCCGGGTCCGCGGCCGCACCCGTGCGCCCTTCGGCCCTGAACTCCGGCGGAGGCGCAGGGCGGGCGGCGGGCGGCGGGCCTCAGAACCCACGCTTTCGCAGTTAGAAGCGCATTGTGAGCTGACCACCTACCCGAGTCTCTGCGGAAACACCTTTACCCGGACCCCGGACCCTCCCGGAGGCCGCACCCCACGAAGCGGGCGGCGGGCGGGTGCTGCCTGCAGTGCCTTCTCCCCGCAGGCAGCGGGGCGCCTGGTGCCCTGCGAAGGCCCAGACTCGGGTGACCCCATCCCAGACTCGCCGAGTGACGTCCCCCCGACCTCCATCTGAACGCCGTTCGTCATTGTTTTAAACCTTAAAATCACGGGAACCTTCCGACAGCTTTTATGCTTAGACACACGTGTGGGCACAGGGAGACCTTCTTGTCAGAGTGGAAACCCTCCCCAGTGCAAACCCAGGTGCCCGCAGGCCTGTCAGAGCATGGCAGCCTCCGACTTTCTTTTTTATTCTTTTTTTTAATATATTTTATTGATTTTTTAACAGAGAGGAAGAGAGAGGGATAGAGAGTTAGAAACATCGATGAGAGAGAAACATCGACCAGCGGCCTCCTGCACACCCCCTACTGGGGATGTGCCCGTGACCAAGGTACATGCTCTTGACCGGAATCGAACCCGGGACCCTTGAGTCTGCAGGCTGTCGCTCTATCCACTGAGCCCAACCGGCTTCGGCAGCCTCTGACTTTAGATATAATGTTCCTTAACCACTAACTCGAACCAATCACAAATCTAGCAGCCTTCGTCTAGCGCTGGGGAGAAACCCGGATATAGTTAGCCCTTTAAAAAATATGACAGTTGATATTTATAAAATGGGTATAACTGAAGTTAGGGAAGTTAAATGATTTGCCGTGGCTTAATGCTTAAAAAATGGGAGAGAGTTGAGGTTTAGATCTTCACATTAAGATTCTTAAATTTAGACCGCTTAATGCTTAACCATAGCTGCATGGAAGAAACCAGTGATCTGCGTCAAGTTCCGTCACATGCAATTTGAATGTAGACAAGACAGCCCTCTTTAGATGTGTACTGGCTATATTTCACTTCCTTTGGCGGCCTAGCTTCTTTGCCTCTGGGCAAGGTGGTTTGTTTTGTTTTGTTTTGTTTTGTTTTTGTTTTTATATTAAGTGAATAACTCCTCTCCTCTCCTCTCCTTTCCCCTCTTTTTGTCCCCAGGAAAATCTAATGTAATGGATGCTCTTAGTTTTGTAATGGGAGAGAAAACAGCTAATTTAAGAGTGAAACATATTCAAGAACTTATTCATGGAGCACATATTGGAAAACCTGTTTCTTCTTTTGCAAGTGTAAAAATTGTATATGTGGAGGATAATGGAGAAGAGAAAACATTTGCAAGAATTATTCGAGGTATATTTTTGTAGATGTTTGCTTATGAGTTACTTGATTTTTCCAGAGTTAAGTCAGATTATCTGTTCAACTAACATAGGGAACTAGGCTTTTTTTCTCTTGGATAACAATTCTCACAAGTAAGTAATAGAACCTCTTTGGTTCTCCACTGGGACTCTTCTTTAAGCAGATGTATTTGTTCAAACTTCTCCATTGTCAAATAGCATTTTTCTACCTGGTTATTAGGTTAAAATAAAAGAGAGCTCAGCCGAAGTCGGTTTGGCTCAGTGGTAGAGCGTCGGTCTGCGGACTGAAAGGTCCCAGGTTTGATTCCAGGCAAGGGCATGTACATTGGTTGCGGGCACATCCCCGGTAGGGGGTGTGCAAGCGGCAGCTGGTCGATGTTTCTCTCTCATCAATGTTTCTAGCTCTCTATCTCTCTCCCTTCCTCTCTGTAAAAAATCAATAAAATATATTTTTTTTTAAATGAAAAAAGAGAGCCCACCTTAAAGATAGAGAAGTTATAAAAGTCCTTCCTGGGGTTATATACACATATTTATCTTTTTCTTAATGGTGAACTAATTATGTGCATATTTTTGGTTTGTATAGAAAGCTTTTCTACCATCGAAAATCAACTTCAGTGAAATATTTGAATTTGTATTTTGTGATTTACTCATGAAATCCCTGTTTCCTGAGTAAATAATATGTATAAGCTAGGAGTTTACAGAGCCTCTATAAGTGTTTCTTGGTGGGTTTTGTAGTTGCTTTTTTCATTCTGGCCTACTAGAACTTGGTTTTAATATTCTAATATATAAATGCTGTTTTATTTCCCCAAATTTAATCACAGGTAATTTTAGAAATACTTATGTACTTGTACCTTAATATCTAATTTAAGCATTTTACCACTTTATTACCTAAATATCTTCATTAGTTTGATCACTTTCTTTTGGATTTTACTCAAGTTTCCCACCTCACTAAGGAATCCTTAGTCTACTTTATTTAATAAGTCATCATAAATTTATTTTTCCCATCTTTATTAAGGTACAATTGATAAAATGTGTATATATTTAAGCTATACAACTTGATGTTTTAATAAACATTGTGAAATAGGTGACATAATCAACCTAAATAACATATATATCACCTCACTTGGTTACTGTTTTCTTCTCTGTGTGTATGGTGAGAACACTTAAGGTCTGCCCTCTTAGCAAATTTAAAGTGTGCAATATGTATTGGTAACTGCAGTCACATTGCTATGCACCAGATCTCCAGAGCTTACCATCTTGCATCTTGCCAACTGTGTATTCCTTGACCATTTTTCCATTTTCCTCTCCCCCCAGCCCTGGAAATCACCTTTCTATTCTCTGCTTCAGTGAGTTTTAACTATTTTAAATTCCACAAATAAGGTTATGCATATTTTTCTTTCTGTACATTGTTTATTTCACTTAGCATAATGTCCTCTGGATTCCTCTGTGAAATTGCAAATGACAAAATTTCCTTTTTTTAGGTTGAATAATATTCTCATCTTTTCTTCCTTTACTTACCCATTGATAGACATTTAGATTATTAGCTATTGTGACTAGTACTTAAATGAACATGGGAGTACAGGTATCTCTTCAAGGTTACTGATTTTATTTTCTTTGAATATATACTCAGAAGGGATTGCTTGATCACAAGGTAGTTCTGTTTTCTTTTTAATATATATTTTTATTGATTTCAGAGAGAGAGAAACACCAATGATGAGAGAGAATCGTTGATTGACTGCCTCCTTCACGCCCCCTACTAAGGATTGAACGGGCAACCTGGGCATGTGCCCTTGACCAGAATCAAACCTGAGACCCTTCAGCCTGCAGGCTGACACTCTTATCTGCTGAGCCAAACCAGCTAGGAAGGTCTGTTTTTAATTTTGAAGAATCTTCATATGGTTTCCTATAATGGCTGTACCAACTTATATTCCCACCAACAATATACGAAGTTCTCCTTTTCTTCATATCCTCACCAATACTTGCCTTTTTGTCTTTTATTGTATGGGTTTGAGGTGATATCTCATTGTAGTTTTGATTTGCATTTTCCTAATATTTCCTAATATTGAGCACCTTTTCATATATACCTGTTGGCTATTTGCCTGTAATCTTTTTAGAAATGTCTATTCAGGTTCTTTTCTCATTTTAAATTGGGTTATAATATTTTGTTTTTTTGCTACTGAATTGTATGAGTTCCTTATATATTTTGGATATTAACCCCTTGTCAGATATGTGGTTTGAAAAGATTTTCTCCCATGCCATCAATTTTGTTTTACACTCTGTTGGTTGTTTCCTTTACTGTGCAGACCTTTTTTATTTTGATACAATCTCATTATCTATTTTTGCTTTTGTTGCTTGTGCTATTTTTTTAATATGTTTTTTATTGATTTTTTTACAGAGAGGAAGAGAGAGGGATAGAGTTAGAAACATTGATGAGAGAGGATCATCGATCAGCTGCCTCTTGCACACCCCCTACTGGGGATGTGCCCACAACCAAGGTACATGCCCTT